TTCACGAAGCGCTCCACATGTTGACTCAATCGAGAACCTGCAGGGGAGTTACACCTCTCAGGCAAACCACTATATCCCAAAGAAGCACCTCTTGCCCTCCCACCCCCATGATTGCCACCACTTCCCACCACTGAGTTCTTGGGGTGATCGGGAATCTTCTGCCTATGAATAGCTGCTTCTGGGCTTTGGTAAGAAAGGTCGTTGTCGGGTACTCCTCTATGGACCTCCCGTTCTCGTCCGCCCTTGACCACTGGCGCAGACTTCGATCTACCCAAGGACCTTCCCCTTATGACGGAAATAGCGGATCTCTTATTCGCCCAGCCACCCGCCTTCATCCAGGCCATTTAGAAAGGTGACGAATAACCACGACACTCGAGCCCTTTTCCTTCATCAACCTGTACGGCGCCGCTATCCTATTGGACCGCCGGTGACGTCGCGAGAGCCCATCCAATCATGATTGCTGCTGGGGCCAGCGAGGAGAGGTCAGAAAGTAAAACGTGTGTTTTTTGAAAGTGCGCTCAGTGCATGAGCCTTACGCCCGAACTGCAGTCGATATTTTGGCTATGCAATACTACCATAACGTGCTTGCATATAAGCATGTATCTGCGGCTGTTCTTCTGTACAGCGTCGGTCTCCTCCTCTATGTCGACTTACTCTGCACATACGTGCATCTCTTGCGACAACACAGTCAAGTGACCATTGCAGAATATAACGATGCGCTTATACAGCACATCAAGTCATGTAAGTATCCGCAGTGTGCTAAAACGGAGTTGGGACACACGTCATCCAACAGCAGTATTGTTGTACATGAACGGACGCTCACCAATAGGTATGCACGAACGCCGTCCTTCCCCGTAGGATGCTCTCATGCAGATGCGTGTCGAAGGTTCAGTATCGTTTTCGGCGATTCCTCAATATCAGAATGGAATGGCAGAAATCCTCCTAGACATGGCAGAGGGACTCGAGAGAGGCCGGCAGAATGAGAGTCTCCGATAGAGAGTGTGGGGTTTGAGGTTTGAGGGTTTTGAGGGGACAGCCCGAAGTCGAAACGGCACTCATTGCGCCGCATTTTTATTACTGCTGCAGCTTTGACTCATTGACTCCTTCCTCGCTCCTCTCTCACCTCCCTTCAACCTCTCACACCAAAATCCCCTTCACGGTTTTTTTTTCTGTCCAAACAGATTGAAAAATGAGCTTCCGAACACCGAGAACAACTGTTGGAGCACAGGTAAAGAGATTGTATCTGCTCGTCAATACTTAGGTTACTCTATTTTCATGATGAGGCCGCACACAGAGTGGCAGTGAGGGACTGTAGAGTATAGCGTAGCGTGGTATTCCATACCGTAATGATGTGGCTAAAATTGACACTAGCTTTGCAGTTGGGCAACAACTGTTGTAACAGCCCATCAGGTGCGAAATGCACGGGTTACGGGTTACGTGCATGTGCGTGATTTGGTAGATCTCAATGCAGAGCGCAACCAAAGTATTTCCGGAGTGCAACAATGTACGCTGCACCTGCACGATTACTATTGTACATTAGATCCAGTGATGCCTTACAATACCACTTCACTTGCACAGCCGGGGCATAATATCGGAAGTACATTGGTATGCCCACGCCCTACATGCTCTGTTGATTCTATGTACACACAACCTTTCTTCGTCGAACATGTTACTGAAGGATGACGAAGATAACGAGACGAAGAGCACTGGCAGCAACGATGGATGGGGCCTCCTCGAGCGAGCATGTCACTTCTTCGAGTCGCGTCCATTTCACGGGGAGCTCGACAATTTCGCAAGGTATACGATCACAAAAGAATTCCACTCGTTCACAAAACTTTTGCGACCGTCCAATAGATAGAGCAGTACGTTGTGTGCTCTTTCTCCGAGCCCACCTGTTCGACGAGCAAGAAAAACTTTCAACGGAAGCCCTGGACCTGGCTACCGGGAGAACTTGAACGGCAATTAATTTCTCCAGTGGGGTTGAACACGGCGTTAACTTGAAGGCCGGCTGGAGAACCTTTGTCGTCTGCCTCGAAAGTGGGCCATCGAGACACGTATCGCTATGTATTTGCACTGCTGCTGTGAGCCGACTGTCATCTACACAAAGTACTTACTACCTTGCTTGCCGTTACGCAGGGAACACGCGAGGGAGTTCGGGGACGCGGTCCAAGAAGAAGAGAAGACCGGGGACCATACACATAATATAAGGTTCGCGTACGCGTGTAGAACACAAAAAAGTAAAAGTATGCATACATGTGAGAAATACCTGTCGAAAAGGTGCACGCGTGTACCCACACAATAAAGAAAGGTGTCTAACAGCTATGGCACCAAATGACTCCTCCTCCCGTTATCATGTTTACTCCATGAAACTTGTGTTTTCGACGCGCAGATACTCTGAGCTCCACGGGCAATACCTGCAGCTTGTGGAGAACTTATTAAGCGGTGAGCTTGGCGCGAATACGGTGCCTGCACGAACCTTTGGTTTTCGCAATCTTCGCAAGTTAGTAGTCCATTTTGTGATTAAAGTGAAGCTGAGCACCGCATCCCCTCTTGCTTTTGCGTCAACTCCAAGTACACACCCACGTGCTTGATCCTGCAACCTTTAAGATTTGTTCCCTTCTAACACTCCGTTGTGTGTATAGGTTCCTCCGTTTGTTTCGTGATCCAATGGGAAAGCTCCCTCTCGATGTCCTTCCTCTCATAGCTTCCCCGTCTCTCCGTCGCTCGCAAACTCAATCCTCTGGCACCTACTTATTATCCAAAACGTTGCACCATGGGCGAAACAATGACGACCACACAGGGTTTTTAGAAGGGGAGGGGCGCCCAGCTGAGGATTTGTTTTCCGACATGAAGGTAAACGTACCCGTCCAATTCGTCCCTGTTTCAATTCACTATTTTTCTAGCTCTGAAGGGTCGTGGTCGTGACGGCAAAAAAGTGAATGGATATCGCCCGTGCGTCAGGACTACGGCAGAACATTGGTGCGTGATTCGCTTCATGACTCGGCAGTACGCCTTGCGCACGTTACGCTGCGGGGTCTTCTACGTTGATGAGGCGCTCTACAGCGGTTCTTAATCCTCACCTTGTTGGCGATAAGTGCCAATCCGGCTAACAGGGCCAATGAGAGCTACATCGCACCAAACCTTTCGAGCCTTACATCCTCTTGCTCCCTTCCTCCAGAACCTCCATTGTACCCACGCGGGCCCATCCCTATCCTCAGCATGTACTCGGCATCTAAATGAGGTTGAACAATAGGATGGAATGACACCGAAACGGTGTACCCGTCTATTAAGCAGGAAGGGTAGCTTTGGAACTTACACGGGAACCGGGTCTCGCTGTTTCGTGTTCCAGATGAGTTATACGTATTTATTTTTCGTTTGTGGCTTAGAACTTCATGTTGGTTGGTTGTGGGGGTATTGGTTCAGCTCCACGAACGAAGGCGGAAGACTCGACAAAGGTATTCCTTCAAGTGGGCGGTACTCTACCGTTGCGTCCCCTTCACCGCCAACTCTTAACGACTAGATCCTATGTGTAGACCCTAAGAAAATTACCACAAATCACATTGCTTCTGCAACCTTACCACTCCAGCCACTGACGACGACCATTCAAGCAGGACGCGAAGGAAAACAACTACACGGCCCTGTTCGAGGAGCACGAATACCATGGCTTCGTGCAGAGCGTGCTTGCGGCGATAGAGTACCAGTCGTTCTACCGGCTTATGCTCGCAGCGGCAGCAGAGGCGACGACCACCCGAAAAGGGAGGAAAGGCTCTGGCAGTAGTACTGGGAGCGATCGTGGCAGCAACAGCAGCGATCGGGGCAGGGGTGATTGTGGCGGCGGAGGCGGTTTTGGTGCTGCGGGGCGTGATCGTGACGACAGGGAGAGGCACGTCCGGAGTGCGCGAAAATAGTGCACTTTCCAACAAGTAGGGCACACGAGAGTCGTCTATCCCATACCACAAACTGCTTCACGTTGATCGCCAAGTCGCGAATGAAGTGACAGAACACTCCATGCTTGTAGTCGGCGATTTCCAACCCTCCCTGCCTGCGAAACAAACGGGGATAGAAGAGAGCGTGGGGAATCGATCCCAGGTCTTTTCTCCGCCACATCCGACATCTCTCCGTTGAGATTCCTACGTGAAAAGAGGGGATCGTCCTCGACAGACGTTGATGAGATGTGACGAGGTTACTTCCACATTACCCCCCCCTCCCACCCCCGTTTTTTAGTCGCTTTCGTCCTGCTCTTCATCGTGGCCTTTGGTCTCTCGCTTGCGCCTGTCTAGAGTTTGAAACATATTCGACGCTCCAATGGCGACTTCAAACTCCTTGGGTGTGCAGGTCGAGGTAGCTGTAGCCCGCTACCACGATCGTAGGCAGGTTGTCTGCGTTCATGTTCGAGAAAGGAGAGACGGGGACCAGAAATAGAGTGAGCAGGACGGTGAGACGAGTGGTCCGTCCGTTTCATGTCAGCAGTGGTATGTGGAACATCCGTGTAAAAGTATCCACCTGTGGTTCCCTGTCGGAACGTTTCCAGGGACCGTTTTTTTCTGCACGTTGATGAATGTATCCGCATGGATCCAACGCATCCTCCACGAAAATGTTCCCAACTCCCATGGAGGCACCCGACATTTTCTTTCCCTTGAGGCGACATCGGTTCAAGACTTGGCCGTGCGCGAGATGAAAGCGGCTCAAGGTGGTGTACCAAAGCAAGCCTAGAGGTGGCACCCTTTGGGATATATGGCTGGTACAACGTGTTGGGCGTGAGACGGCTTCGTGGTGCTCTCGAAGCCGCGGCTCGACCCGGTGGGGCGCGTTTCCTGGTTGTGCATAGATATGTGCCATCCAGCACCTGAGTGCGCAAAACACCACCGCTTGGTCAAGAGTGACAAGGAGCGACTGCGTCATGCCGACAGCGATTTGGATCCCGTGCTCGGTACGTGCGACGCGGTCGATCGAACAGCACAACCTGGAATTCCAAACCCCCACAAAAATGCTTTGTGATACGCATAATCCCGTCATCGATGATGTTGTCCAGCAAGAAGCTAAACAAGTGGCTACGTGGAAGCCATTCGACACACCAGTATGACAGTCTTCAAAGCGTCCATCGGAGGACGAGGAAAAAAAAAAGTCCCTATTAATAACATGTTTCGCGCGCGTGCGACGTGCTCAAACTATAGCTGAAAACAGGCCCGTCTCTTGACCGTATGAGAAGCCTTCCGCAGGCCCAAAAAGGAGCCGCCGACACGCCTCCATACTTTGATTGAAAATTCACTTGAGCGAGTAAAACAAGGTTGTCTTTGCAAGCCAACCATCCCAAAGCAGTGGGAGAATCAAGACGACCCGTTGAACGAACATCCCGCTCGATCCGTGCACCCTACTGGTGCTCCGGCGAGCCACTGAGGGGGCCATAAACCCCCCCTGACAAGAAGCACCAATCCCCCCCTCCGCCGCCGCCCTCCTTTTCCTGCTGGTCAGTAGTACTGTAAAGAGGCGGAGAGATGGCACCCTCCCATAGACCACTTCAGATTTTTTGCCAACACCAAAAATTGTGGTTGTAGGCACTTCTCGTCAAGGGCTTCTGTCGGGCTGTTTCCGAACCCCCCTTGCCTGCGGAGCAAAATCGAGCTTTGAAACCTCGATGCCATATCTCCGCCTCTTACGGTACTCTTATGGACAACTATTGTCGGACGTACGGCGGCGCTATGTTGATTCTTCTCCCGGTGGTTTAGCTGGCGCACTACCGCTTGCCCCGGATTGGAGAGCCTTCGACGCCAGGACGAGGGTGTCTTTGCGCTCCTCCATAAAGTCCATCTGCTTTTCGGACATCTAGACAAAACGAACAAACGGAGGGCGCGCAACCAACAAACAGAAAGGAAATACGTGTTTTCTCAGCAACCTCTTCCAGATGCTGTCCGAAAAAACAGAGGGCGAACAACGCCAATATGTAACGATACAGCCTTGGTCACGCGATGCAGTTCTTTCATGGAACAAGAAACAAGGACACACTTTGGACGGCGTGGTCCATAGTTGAAAAATAAAGGAAGAACGAAGCACGACCAACAACCAAAAGCATCTATTTACAACACAATCAATCTGCAACAAGGTCCTCAACACGACGCTTCCTCCACGCTTCATACCGTGTTAACGGTTGGCAAGTGCAGGCAGTTGAAGTACTGTTTGCGGAAGTCGTAGCATACCGAGGAGTCGGGCTCCGTGTTCTGCGGGCACAAAAGCGAGGTTGGGCCGGGCGGGGAATACATCATCAGCAAGATGGCAATCGACCGGCATGACAGCGCGGGGGGAAGATGCGCGTCACCGGACTACAGTACCGGACTACTATTCCGGCAGGCGCACAGTTGACAATACGTTTCCAACGGGAGACAAATTATTCCGCGTGTTTCGGTTTGTCCAGGGAATACCTGGTATCACATTTATCCGTTACAGTAAAAATGCTGTTCTGCTTCTTGCTGCAAGCTGCACAGCACTCGGAGGTAGTGACCACAGAATGAGAGTTTTTTCTACCGGAGTACAGTCATGGCCACGATGTAAGAGGGTTCCTTAAAACAAAGAGGGTCGAAATCGGTTGCCACGGACTTGACCCTCTAATGCTATGGTAGTTGGGTGGTACAAGAGGGGGCTCCGATATGAGAGGGTCGAGGGCCTTTGCCACACTACCCTCATATGTACCATGTATCAGAGCCACGACTCAACGAACACACGAGCAACAACCAAACGCTTCACCAAACCACTGTTTCTTTCTTTTTTTTCTTCATGTGACACAACGAAACCATCTCTATCATAGAAAAGAGTCTGAGACAGATTAGCAATGGATTCATACTGTAGCGTCAGAAAGTACCTGTATGTCTACGATTTCCCAGACAGCATATAGGGACTGTAAGGAGAGCCATTGAAACTGATCGCGTGGCCTACGAAGACCTCGCGAGTGCACACTTGCCCAAAAAAGCCGGGATGCATTCCCCAAGGCTACGTATACGAGTACACTTGCAGAAGTAGCATACGGCTAAACAAGACGCACTGTTCGCTCAAGTGCACACATGATTGAGCACACCAGCAGCATCTCTCTCGTGCTCCCAACCTCCTGAAGTAAACTCGCGATCGTTATTGCAACAAGAGTCAGAGAATTAGCCACCACAGCCAGTACTCCTTGCAGCATTGCGACCCCATTTTGTATACGTGCAACCTCACTTCATCGCTAGACCCCTGCTTGAGTCGTTTGCTTGCCGCAGCAACCCTGGACAGCGGCTGGGCAGCTCTGGAAGTAGACACAGGAGGGTCGGCAAGAGGCCCGCTCACAAGAGAGTTGGGGGCTATCAGAGAAATGGGCAACATATTTCTGCCGTTCGTACTTCTCGCGCTGGCCAGACGTCCTCGCTACGACAGCTATCATGTCAGATGTCAGATGGAACGCTGCAACTGTGGCTTCCTGTAATTGGGCCGCCAAATTCCCAAAAGTGGCTGTGGGGGGGGGGGGCATACTCATTTGACCATTGACCACCCGTCCCTTTCGAGACGGAGCACCGTTCCTACCCCTACTAAAAACACCACCAACATTTGGGGGGGGGGGGGGGGGCGTCAGGCTGATCCCAGTCTATTTTCAAGACACATTTGACCCTTGGTTCTCGCTGCGGTGAGCCCGTCAACCTAGCACCGCCCTCGGACGCACAGGCCTCACAACGTTGTTCTAGCGCCGGACACGGGTTACACACCGCAGGCCACTTTCTGCGCCAAGGGCGTGCACACAACCACAGCCACGAGATGATTGATGCGCCTAGCTTGAAGAACACCCACAACGTCACACCAGCGCAAATCTCACCGCATTTCGCGCTTAAAAAAAAAACCACCACAAGCCACAAGGGGAAGCAACCACAGCGCACTCTCGCGCACTCCCCTTGGATCGGCTTCACGTCCGACTCGACCCTAGTCTTCAACACAACCAAGGCCTATATAAGTCAAGGTGTAGGGGCACTTCATGGACATAGTAGTAACACTTTAGGGACATGTCCGGTATGGCGAATGTCGGGGCGGCTGGGGCCTTCCTCCGTCATCTTCAGTTTGCACTTGTCTCCCCCGCATGCTAACCCGAACTCGGAGGGTTCGCCAACACCCATAAGGTCCTGATTGCACGTATTGTGCACGGGTCCCTTGCACTCTCTAAAGCAGTGGTGTGAGCACTCCGGCGAATGCACTCCCCAAGGATATAGCAGGCAAAATCTGCCGTAATGGCAGACCCAGCGGCCCCGACATTCGCCATACCGGACATGTCCCTAAAGTGTTACTACTATGTCCATGAAGTGCCCCTACACCTTGGCATATATAGGCCTTGGTTGTGTTGAAGACTAGGGTCGAGTCGGGACGTGAAGCCGATCCAAGGGGAGTGCGCGAGAGTGCTGTGGTTGCTTCCCCTTGTGGCTTGTGGCGTTTTTTTTTTAAGGGCGAAATGCGGTGAGATTTGCGCTGGTGTGACGTTGTGGGTGTTCTTCAAGCTAGGCGCATCAATCATCTCGTGGCTGTGGTTGTGTGCACGCCCTTGGCGCAGAAAGTGGCCTGCGGTGTGTAACCCGTGTCCGGCGCTGGAACAACGTTGTGAGGCCTGTGCGTCCGAGGGCGGTGCTAGGTTGACGGACTCACCGCAGCGAGAACCAAGGGTCAAATGTGTCTTGAAAATAGACTGGGAATCAGTGACCCCGCCCCCCCCACAGCCACTTTTTTTTTTTTTTCTTAATATGACACAACGAAACCATCTCTATCATAGAAAAGAGTCTGAGATAGATTAGCAACGGATTCATAGCGTCAGAAAGTACCTGTATGTCTACGATTTCCCTTTTGGGAATTTGGCGGCCCAATTGCAGGAAGCCTATCCCTATCCCAGCGTTGGACGCGTGAACCAAAACATAGCAGGCCCGCTGCCGTGACGGAAAGGGCAAAAAACAAGCAAAATACGCTCTTATTTCGGTCGATATCCAGCTCACAGAAGGCGCTCACCATGCATGTTTCGAACGCAGAGAATATCGAGTAGCACCTCCCGACCTTGTTTCTCCCGAAGCCGCTCGCCATGGTCCTGTAGAGCGCGAGTAAGCAGTACACCGTAAGTGTACGTCTTTTCCGGGGGGTCGACAGCTCGGAGTTTGTACCTAGAGAATCGCTTCTGCGTCTCCCCCTGCCTTGATTGTCGTCCATCGTTGCGTTGCGTCGTTGTGCACGGCCGGCGATCGGACACAGCGGCAGACAGATATAGGAAGGGAAGGAATCAAGAGCTCGGAGCCAGGTGCGTTTGACCCCCCGGGTCCTAAAGAGTTTCACAAGAGGTGGCTTATCAGCTTCTCACACTTGTTATCCGAAGGTTCTTTGTAGGTGAACGTAACAGCAGGGGTCTCATCACGCCTCAGGCCCTAGGCCTACTCAGAGAGCTCCCGGTGCTGCTGTGTGACACAGCATGGGGTGATGAGGGAACAGCTGGGAAGGGGCTGGGATTGAGAGAGCTGTGGAAGTGTGACATCTGTTGCATCATTGCGCTATTGCATTGAAAGAATCGCAGCGATACACATGAGAGATGCCAAGAAAAAATGCACTGCTGTTTACAGCCTGCTTGGCAGATGTGTATGTACACAGCATTGCTGCCATGTACTCGCATGCCGACGATACGAGAAGCAACGGCTCTGTCTGTTCAACACGTAGAGTTGTGCATGTGCCACAACTGCACATGTACGAGCTATGAACAGAGTCAATAACAGATGCGGGGTGTGCCTGCTTGAATTGGATCATCACATCTTAGTCTGCTCCTGGTGTACACCAATGTCACAGAGATTGGTTCACCTGTCTCGCAGGAACTCTCCGCCCTGATGACGTACAAATTGTAGTGCTCTGAGTGCCAGACTGGTGCCATGCAGAGTATTATAGTCGACGTCCTTTTGTGTGTGAGCACTCTGCAAAAGCTTCAACAGACCAGAGAAACTGCGTCTCGTTCGTCCACCCAGGCTACCACTACCTCATGCTCTTGTCTCGCTCGCTACAGCACTAATAGTCTAAGTTGTGCTGTCGTCTGCGCTGCCCATCTGCCTGTAGCGGCAAAACTACCGCCGACGAGCTAGTTACCCGCACGTAGTCTCACACCGCCACGTGATCTCGTGCCGCCATGATCAAGTCGCAAGCTAGCACTGCAGCACTGGAAAACACTCCCTCGGTCCAGTCGTGCAACGTTGCTCGAAGGCCAAGGCCTCACTTTGGCATGCATGCATACATACACAGAGGACAGCAGTACATACGTCGTGTTCTTGGTCACCCCCTCGCCCCTTTCGCTTATCACCGCTAACGCGTGGAAGAGGCTAGACGGGCACAGCAGGTCACACACGGGGGCGACAGCACATTTTACCGGATGGACTAGCCCCAAGGTCCCTCCACCTCCGCCAACACTACCAAATCTGAGCGCTTCGATACGTAGCTTGAGTAGCTGCGATCGACAGCAGTTGGTTGAAACAACCTTTACATGGCGTCCTGCAATCAGTTGGGAAGGGGGCCGTTACGAATACTTTCCGCCAGCATTCGTTCCGTCCACCCCCACCCCCATCTTCATGTGCGCGAGCCGCTTCAGTCGAAAGCAGGCGGTGGTGAGCCTCAGATTTTTCACTATTGTAACGTGATTTAGGCTAAAGTGAGCCTGACGCTCGCAGCTGACAATACGTGACCTGGGTTCGGGCGGCGACAAGCGGCAAACGAACCACTTCCCGATCATCCACCATTTCCCACTACCTGTTTGGTACACCCCTAAGCACCAATTTGTATCTCTCCTTGCTATTTCTACGACCAAGCAGCGGATCTTCGCTCAATAGTCAGACCGAGCATCCGCGACAGCGGCAGCAGCAGCGGCAGCAGCCATGGGGGGGGGACGACACTTCCACTTCCCCAAGCACGTGTGGTCGCCCGCCGGGGGTTGGTGGGTCAACCCGCCGCACTGGAAGCGCAACACGGGATTCGCGTTCGTCGGCATCGGCTTGGCCTTCATCGCGATCGCCAGGATTTCCTCGGACCGAGAGGTGGGAACGATGTGATACAGCAGTATGCCACACCTAAAAAGAAAGTGTTGCCTCTCTTGTGGGACGGATATGAATACTTTCAACTGCTTTTTTCGCCAACGCCGTGTCGTGTGCTGCGTGTCCATCTCCTGGTGGCCTCGCCATGTCGAAACAGCTCACCTTTGTAGCTGAGTGCAGTTCGTGCGCAGGGCAGACTGCATGGACATGCCTCCATCCCCTCCTCATCCATGGTGGTCTTCTTCTCTTGTCCGGTAATTGACAAGTACTAAACAGATAGCGCCCGCACGCCCGCACACTTAAGACCCTCTATTATAATAGTTTACGCTGAGGCTACGGATCTTACTTCCCCCTTGCTGGCCACAATGCGGCTGTTTACTTTTTTGTGTAACTGGACTCGCAAATTGTTCTCAGGCTCTTCTGCTTGATATCATGTTGAGCTTTTAGTTTTTGCGCGCGGGCGCCCTGTTGCAGCAGTCTATAGAAGCCGAAATCAAACCATTAGACTATTAGTCAGCGCTGACTAGTCTAATGGTTTGATTTGGGGTTCTATAAAAGTTAGTCGTGGGGTTCGTGAGCCCCGTCACTTTCACTTCCGAGGAGGGTGATTCCCCTTGCCAGCGCTACTATCCATCCAATCTTCATTTCGCTTCATATCACTCGCCAGGGTCCACGAGTCCTTCCGTCACCCATACTCTGGTGGCCGAGAGTATCCAGGGTCTCAGGAAAAAAACCACTTCAAAGTGTCCAGCCTGGGTCTCGAACCCACGACTAACTTTTATAGGAGCCTAAACCCCACGACTAACTTTTAGAAAAGCCGAAATCAAACCATTAGACTAGTCAGCGCTGACTAGTCTCGCTGACTAGTCTAATGGTTTGATTTCGGCTTCTATAAGTCTGTGGCATAGCGTCGGCATCCGCTCGTGGCGTTGCACGATCCTCCATGTCTCGGATTTTGCCTGACCTACAAAGAGTTGGGCTCTCTTACAGGTAACTTCGGGACGTTCGGTTTCCTGCCTGTTTTGGGGCGTCTACGAAGTAGTTTCTCCTGCAAGGGCGAAAACGGCTGCTCCGTTCTCCACGAACTTGTTACCCACTTGATTGTCGCTCGTTGCAGACCACCCAACCTTAATCCTCGCTCCCCGTACCCCCGGCATACACATGTCCTGCCCCCCTACAACTAGTGAGATTGATGAGTTCACCCCCCCCACGCCGACCTTTTTTTTTGTCTTTTGCAGCGCCGGCCGATTGCTCCGGCGTTCCACATCCCTTCACAGAGGTGGTGCAAGCACGCGAAGGAGGACGACCCGTCTCTGCCGTAGATAATCACACTATGTAGCTCTGGGATTGATCGGAACAATACTTGGGGGTAGGAGGATCTGGGTGGCCTGTCTGGTTGCCCAGTTTGTTGCATGACCGTACTTTCGGTAGAACTTCTTATCACCTATCTATTTAGTTACATGAGAAGTTCGCTCGTGAGTGGCTGTAGGAAAACATGACCTCAAAAGAAGAGAGGCCTTGTACGCCCGTTTGGTGCATTCTGTTTACGAGTCGCTTGCCGGTGCCAGGGGAGGGTGTGTGGTCGGCGGACAGGCCTACTAGCGAGAATAGGGGCAAGGTTTTGGGGGTGAATCCTCCTAAGGATGTTCAGGCCAGTTGTCACCTTTGCTCCTTGCCTATAAAGGGAATGCCTATAAAGGGAATGCGGAATGTTTAACAGCCGTGCCGGAGGCTGGCTTCTTTGACTGCGGATGATGGAGATGGCTCATACGCACTTGCCGCATGCAACAGCAGTCGTTAGAAGAAGAGTCATGAGAAGTTTAAGTTTAGACTGCAGTCCTTGCGCCTGACCGATTGTCAGCGGAGAGGTGCGTGCGCTGCGGCGGTTTCTGTGCAGAGCACTTGTTGGCTGCGGCGTTGGGAGTTGGAAAAAATAAGTTGCGTACTGTACGTCGCAGAACGAGTTCAACACTTCGGCACTGGCTGGCTCCTTGAGTTCTCCTCACGACAGATGTTTTTTACGGCTCAGACCACGGCGCATGACAACGGAGATGAGGGGAGGCCTCGACCGCCGTTTGATGGTGTATTCGCCGGGCCTTCATTTCCCGGTGTCTTCCCAAGTGTTGCGACTGCGACTCTACGCGTCCTTCCCGTGCGAAGGCAAAAAAACGAATTGTCTTACAAGTACGTCGTCTTCACGTGTGGTTGTCGTGCGCTTGGCTCGTCGTTGGCGAAGAGGACTGAGGCTTTGCTACAATAATACGCTACCTAACATTGGGTTTAATCGCGAAGAAGATTGTCGCTACCACTGTTTTCGTGAGTGGGCTAAGTGTTCGAGTCATTGCTGCTGTTCCCCCCCATGTACCCATCTGAAAAACACTCATGTGCTGTGCGGCCACTACATTTAGCACCGGATTCCATTTTACAGCCATGGTAATGGTGCCACACAGCTAACAACGAACACGTTTGTTTTACTTGTGTCCTTTTTCTGTCGTAAAACCGCATACGTGGAATCACGTAACCCTGACCACCCTGTAATGAGCCCCTTAACACTTTTTGTCATACGCTTGTCGCATCGAGCCCATCAGAGTGTGGTGCAAGATAAACGCGTAAAGTCAGCAGTGAGCCAGCTCCCCAGCCATGGGGGGTCGAAATTGGTACCCAGTTTCCTTTTGTGTACGGTATGCCAGGGGTTCCGTGATTTCGAAATTGCCGTGTGGAGAGTGGTGAGCGAGAGACATCACACATCACACACAAGCAGGAGCGAACAGGTCCACCCACAGGTGCGTGAGAGAGACACGCACAGAGAGAGGAGAGAGGAGTTCACGGCTACACCGCCGGTGCGAATCCCCACTTTGGCGGTAATCGGTAATAATCGGCCGCTCGTTTCCTCTTTTTCAAAAATTTCCGGAGCCAGTTGACCAATTTGAAATTTTGACGATGCGGCTGGCTCATGATTGCGGCCGTCCGTGCCTCGGCTGTGCTGTTGCCCACGACAAGACGGCAGCAGCAGCGGCGAAGGCTTCTTGAAGTTGAACCCATGCAGATTACGATGCTGTTGGAAATGCGGGTCTAAGGACGAATCATGCCCCGTTGGGTTGGTTGCATTCGCGCGTAGATTCCACCAGAGAGAGAAAGCCGTTGCCCTCTGTCCGCTCTCCTCTTACGACCGCGGTGGACCTGGCCTTCGCACCTTTTACCCCAAGCAGCAGCAGCTGCTACACAAGCACCAAGCACGTCTTATGTACTGTACCTTTTTCTGGCGCCTGAAGATGTGGGACGCATCGGAGGCGTCATGCTCCCACATTTGGTGCAAATCATGTCCGCCTCTACAAGCAAATCTGCTGAAAGCGAGGCACTCTTTCGACCCAGCTCGAGTAATAACAACGTGAACAGGAACACACAGCGGAGCGCACGAACTGATTGCACATATCGAAATGGGGTCTCTCGCGTGTGGTGTGCTACGTACCATGGTGTGCATAGCATTCCGGCTTCCACTACAGCAGTAGCGGCTACGGTTCACGGAGAGTAGCCAAGAGAACATTCAGATTCTTGGGTAGAGCAATACATCAAGGGCATGTGGATACATGCGACAGAAAAGAAGGCACCGATGGATGTTCGTTTGACACAAAGTACGGTGCGCCGGACCCCAGGACTTGACTCAACATGACTCCAGAATATACCCCGGAGGCCCCCGCCCGGATTGGCCAAGACCACCGAGTTAGCCGTTTTCTGGCGGCTCAATCGGAGAGTTGTGCCGGGACCGGGCTTCTCGAGTAGACTTTCACACTTTGCCATGGACCCGTTCACGCGCGAAACTCCCGCGAATTCGCGCCCACTACCGTCGTGCGTGTTATGACGTAAGATACCACACCCCCTCGACCGATTTTCAAAGCTCGAGTGTTCCACAGCAGTAGCAAAAAGAGTGGAAAATCGCGGCATTGGAACGGCGTCATCGATGAGAGCTTTCCGAACGTGCACCTTGTCAGTAGTGTGGAAATCGTGCTTGGAAAATGAAAACTCGGTGCAAGTGGTGTGATATCTTACGTCACAGACGGCGGCACTGCTGTTGCCGTGTGCTCGTAGTCGTTTCGCACGATCGATCGATCGATCGCTGACGAACCTCCTTCTTTGTGTACCCACAGCAGCAGACGGGCACAGGAAGAGTGCGCCGAAGGAAGGAGACGAGACGAGAAGAAGACCCTTCCGCCCTCAGCTCTATCTTATCATCTTATCAACTATGTCCGAGAAGCGAAGTCGGAGGCGGGAGGGTGGCGAGGGCGGCGGCAGTGGCCGCCCCAAGAAGCCCAAGAGGCCCGAGGTAAGCAACGCCGTTGTCGGCACGCTACGTACAGAGTATTGGTATCCCCTTCGACTGAGGTGTTCTCTCGAACGGGTAAGTCTCTCCTTGATTGTATGTGTTTTTTCCAGTAGTATCCCTCTCCAAGTTTGCTCCTGTTAGTGTTTTGTGTCCCTTTCTCTGCGAGAACACGCGCACAAGAGGTTGTTTCCACAGCTTTGGCCCGGTACTCTCTTGGAGACAACGAGGAGGGCTTCGAAGCTTCGGCATGCTACATACAGCAGTGTGCCTCCCCATTTTTGCTTGCTCCTACTATAGCGTTTAGCGTGTCTTTCTCTACGTACATGCGTTCGAGGTTGTTTCTGAAGCTTGTGATTCTCTCTTGGTGATAGCAAAAAAGGACGGCGCGAGTGCCTGCGTATGTTCCAACGTGAAGAAGCTCGTCCGTTTGTGTACGACGCACGGAGGGCGGCGAAGCAGGCGGCAAGCGTCGAAAAACTCGTCCTCCTCTCTTGTTGCTCTACACTTCCAAATATTTTTTTGCCATTCGGGCACGTGGAGGGCTTTCAATATTTACGCGAAAGATGACCACGCACACACACATAAATTGTTTTAACGAATTCATTCAGGAGGAGGAAGTTATATCTCCTACAGTACCACAACAATTGGTGATGAAGTTTTCGGCAATTTTTCCTCTGATTTGTTCATTTGTATTTGTCGTTTGAAATAAGCACTTGACAAGTCCCGCCGCAAGCGGGACAGCAAGAATAGACGGCAGCGTCGTAGTGTTCTTATGAGCAGCATCATGTGCGGTGGCTTTGGTCCCAGGCAACGAACCCCCTGCAAGTACAAGGCCTGTTGAGGGCGTAACCCATGACCCACAACAATTGGTGATGAAGTTTTCGGCAATTTTTCCTCTGATTTGTTCATTTGTATTTGTCGTTTGAAATAAGCACTTGACAAGTCCCGCCGCAAGCGGGACAGCAAGAATAGACGGCAGCGTCGTAGTGTTCTTATGAGCAGCATCATGTGCGGTGGCTTTGGTCCCAGGCAACGAACCCCCTGCAAGTACAAGGCCTGTTGAGGGCGTAACCCATGACCATTGGGGTTAGTGTTCTGTCCATTTTTTTTTGTGTCCTTCCTTACAGTGCAACCTACCCCATTTCAATCCTTGTGGACCTTCTTTCTAATGCCTTGTTTTGTTTGTTTTTGCTGTCTTGTGTTACGGGAGAAGGTGAAGGTCATGGACGAATCCGGCCAGACCAACGAAGAGCGCAGGGAACTCAGGCTTAAGCAGAGGACCCTCAAGAACAAGATCATCGAGCAGCAGGCGGTGAGTGCGCGTGTCTGTCTGTCTGTCTGTCTGTATTTTTTAGCGTCGACCGCGCTACGCGGCTGACCAATGAAAATACGTCAGTCTCAGCGCGGTTGAAAACACAACAACGCTTTCCAAGTGTGTGTGTGTCTTGCTGTAGCAGTCGGTTAGGGGGGGGTGTCTGCTGTGTCAGCAGTCGGGTAAATAGGCGTCTTGTTTCGCTTGTCCGTCCCGCATCATACGTTGGATGGCAGACATTTTATATCGATAATACACACCTACAGAGTAACACACCTACAGAGTACCACCCGATGACCTGCGGCAGACACGTTTTCCGTGCATTGGTGACGTAAGATATCATACGTATCATACGCCCTCCGTGCCGATTTTCCAAGCTCGATTGCTATTCCACAGCAGATTGTGTGGCGATGCCAAAAAAATGTTGGCGTTGGAACCGCCTCACCAAAAACGCGAATGTCGTTTTTTAGATACATTTTTTTTTTTTTTTCGTCCCCTTCGTCTTTGGGGTAGAATTGGAAATCGGCCAGGGGGTGTGATATATTACGTCACCTATGGTACTACGGTGGCAAGTGTAGCGAGACGAGGCAGCGAGAGCGTGGGGGAGTGACCTCGGTGGCCGGAACTGGCGGGGTCTGGGAGAGGACGGCGACGTGTGTACAAGTTGTCGTCTCATTTAGTGCTTGGGGAAACTTGTTTTTCGAATTTCGAAGATGGCTCTTGCGGCGACGCCTTTTGCACATATAGCGGCGGAAGTTTCCCTTTTTGGGAATGTTTTCCGCGAGCTTACCCCACATGTGTATGTGTGGTGTCGCCAAAGATACTCACGTGTAAGAAGCTACGACCCATTTTGCGGCTGCTTGCAGTTGCCGAAATCTCACGTATGACATTCCGGCAATGACCCGCTTTCCTTGCGGCAGGCGTTTCGAGGGTGTCGGTCCTTGCTCTGTTTGATTTCTCTCTCTCTCCTCCTCCTCCTCCTCCTCCTCCTCCTCCTCCTCCTCGTCGTCTCTCGCCCTTCCCTCCCTACCAATTTTTCTTCTCTCTACCTCTCTCTCTCTTTGATGTACAGCAGTTTCTGTCTCTGTCTCTCCGTCTCTTGCCTCCGCCCCTCCCCCCCCCCCTCCTCCTGCTCGCCTTGCGGGGTGTTCCTCGCCGAAAAGGTTCCTCTCTCCTCTTATTTTTCACGTTGCCCCCCCTTTTTCCTTTGGCATGGTTGTCGGTTTGTGGTCTTCATTCAGGACATCGGGGATCTTAACAAGGACGCCTGCCGGGAACTCACGGAGGAGAACGGGAAGCACTTCAAACAGTGAGAGAGAATTATGTATGCGAATAAGCTTATGTGGCGTTTTTGGAATCACGGAGGAGGGGAAGCACTTCTAACAGTGAGAGAGAATTTATGTATGCGAATAAGCTTATGTGGCGTTTTGGAAATCACGGAGGAGAACTGAGAGCTGTTACAAATAAAGCGAGCTATGCATACGTTTTCCACTCACCGAGGAACACATTCGAAGAGCGAACATGAATTGTGACAACTTTTATAGGCCTAGTCTTTTCCTACTTTCCTACCCACGCGGAGTTGTTTTGTTTCGTTAATGACGCCGCCCCGCCTTCTCTTGGTCTCCTCCTATTGGCCGGCCGGAACAGAACAAAGTTCCCTCGAGAGGCCGCGAACGACGCGGAGAACTTGAAGCTTATCGCAGTAGGGTCCGCGGGGCAAGCCTGCCAACTCGGCAACAGCTCAGTCGGGTGAGAGAGAGAAACGACCTGTATCTTCTTGACGCTGTTTGCTGCTGCTGCTGCTGCTGCTGCCGTTGTGTGTTGTCGAACCGGTGTGAATGATGTGTGTCTGCTTCATCCGACTTGATTTCCAGGTCCCGTTCATCAGCACAGAGAAAGACAGAGACAGTGACAGGGACAGAGAAAGAGAGAGAGAGAGAGAGAGAGAGAGAGAGAGAGAGAGGGAGAGGGAGAAAGAGAGAAAGAGAGAGAGGGTCTCTCGGCTTCCCACACACCGACAGGAGCACTCGCACTATCCTAGCCTAACCGATCTACAATCTAAGCAGAGTGGAGCCCTTCTGGCCGAATGCCGCCACCCGTCCGTGAAAAAAAATACCTCAACACCTCCTCAAGAGGCGTATCTACCACTGCTGCTGTGTTGGAGTGTTGGATGGCCCAAGGGGGGCGCGTCTGTCGTTTATACACAGCGCAGTTACTTCCCAGGTGCTTCCGGCAAGACAATGTGCGGTACAATTGAGCCGAGTGGACTATGCGTGCAATGTGATTGGTCTATCGGCGGGTTCGCCTCGAGTGCTCCCCTCTTGGGCTGGAAAGACTCTTGAGGCGTCAATCCCGCCGCCCCCCCCGCCATTGCCATTCTCTGCCGTGCTCGGTGATACACCGACTTGACATGACGTTTTTTGCTGCTACCCCCCTCCAGTATATCGTTTGTTTTTTTTGTCTGCATTTGTTCAAATCAGCGCTCACAGCACTTGTGCCATTTCTCCAACCCGTGGTCTCACAGAAGGGTTCCCCTCCTTGAGGCCCCCTAACCACCGCTCCTGCGGTACATATCTACTTTGCCTTCGATTTCTAATGCGAAAAGAGTGCAGCATTCTATTCCCTCTGTGTACACAAGAACTATTAGCCCTTTCCACCCAGGCCAGGAACGGAAGCGAGAGAAAAAAATCACTTCGCAAGAAAAGCTCGTTTAGGCCGGGATTCGAACCCCTGACCTTGACCACTATTCAGAAGGTCTTTCGAGGATACCCGCTTACACTACCGGGGCGGCCGGCTTGGGTCTAGAAAATGACTGCTTGTCGCATGCTGTGTGCTGTTGACGATTAGTACACCAGTTCCACGGAAGTTGAGGCGCTTGACACACGACTGCTGTGGTCTGTTGGTCTCGTGTTGTCTCTTGTGTGCAGCATCGACGGAGACGCGTTCCTTGACAGCATCAAGAAGCACTTCGGCAGGACGAAAGGAGACGACGAACAGGGAGTGAAAACGTTCAACTGGGCAAAGTGGGGGGTGAGAAGAGAGACGGGGATTTTTTTTTTTTTGACAAGATTTTTACCGTCTTCGTGCCCACAATCTCTCTTTTTTTTGTGTGTGTGTGGCGTCGTCCTGTTGTCGCGTGCGGCGTGGCGATTTCTCCACGACTAACCCTGTGTATTCGATTTGCTGGCTTGGCTCCTGTTTCGTTCCTCTGTCGTGTGGGTACGTTCGTGTGAATGGTGTTTCTGTTTTTTGGTGGTGCATGCTGTGCTGGGTACTGGGTACTACTGCACGATTCCGTTTTTTTTTTTTATCGTGCGGTTTCCCACACAGCAATCACCTCGCCATTTGTCCATGCACATGCACATACAAGATCTTTGCTTCCTCCCTGTCGGGGGCGTACACGCTGCTATTGTACGTAGATTCTGATTGCCGTTTTTTTTATTTTCTTAGTATGACCCAACGAATCCATATCTAAGAAAAGATTCTAGGATAGGTTAGCAATGAATCCATCGCGTCAGCGAAGGCGGCTACCTGTATTTCCACGATTTCCCGAGCAGCACACAGTGATATCTCCGCTGTGGGTAACAGGCCGTCTCGTGCATCTACAATATCTGAATGTTTTTCTCTTTTCTTTTTTTCCTCGCTCTTTTAGGGCAACGTCTCGATGGTGTACCTCGCCACCCCCGAGGGGGGCGGGTTCATGATGGGTCCCCTGGACAAGCCAGTGAAGGAGAGGAAGACTGCCCAAAGGAGGGAAAAGCACATCGTGAGTGTGCTTGTCTCTTGCCACACCCGGAGGAGACGATACAAGCTATTTTTGTACTAAAATGAAACGGCAGAACCCAAGTACAATGCGATGCCCCCGGAAGTTGTGTGGTGTAGCATAGAAGATCTATCTGTTTGTGCGCGGTGGTTGTTGTTGTTCATGGGGCCTCTCGGGAAAAGACAGCATGTTTGACACAATCTGCACGGCCATGTGGTCGCAGACACAGCAATAGATGATAGATGACACAGACTACATGGTGCGTGGGTGGTGCGCGTATGTACAGCGTGGTATTTTGGTTACTCATATACGCGCACGGTTGGATTCCCGCTACACAAGCCTGCCGGTCGCACGGTTTCACCCGCGACGATTCCGTGATGATTGCCAGCCACCTTGCCTTGTTTCCGTAACACAGAGTCCCACCTTTTTGAAAATAAACGTACAAACACAGAGACTCCGTCCGAGATATATCCATATTCAAAAGGGGAAGTGCTTTGTTTGTTAACCGTGAGTGCAAGAACAACCGGCTGGATACTTGGCTTATTCTGTTTAAGCCTATTCACTGAACTTTGTAAGTGGTGCCAGCTGGGGCTAAGCACAAAGTCCCACCTACTGCTCAGCGTTTCATCTTTTGCTTGTTAAGTTTCATCTTTTGCTTATTAAGGTTCGTCCTTTGCTTGTTGAGTTTCATCTTTTGCTTGTCAAGTTTCATCTTTTGCTTGGTAAGCTTTGTGATTTACGTTTATCAATAACTGGTGTACAGGACGACGCCGAGGAGATTACTCCGATGATGGAGATGAAGGGCAAGAAGGCCAAGCAGAACAAGGACCAGACACAGATGCGCATCGCCAAGATGAGGGTGAGGAAAGAAAGAAAAAAGACGTCTTCTATCAAAGAGGACCAGTCAGCAAGTTGAGGTTGAGGAATGAGGACAATTTTTCGTCCAGTTGCTAAGACTTTGGTAAAAATCATGTGTTGTTTTGAGCTATTCTAGTGTGATAGATCCCAGTTTTTTTTTTGGTAGCAATGATGGCAGCGGTCGAGAGGGGAACGAAATCGTGAAGCGCTAGAGTCCGGGACAGAGTTTGATCTCCATCACCCCGACTTATGTTCAACATGCCCGCACTGCTCTATTGTTCTGTCTGTCTTTTCTTTCATCCTCTTGTTTTGATGTGCGTGCGTGTGTGATAGGAGCACGAGAAGGAGGACGCGGGGTCCAAGAAGGACATGTTCGAGACTCTCGTCAACCCCAAGTCCTTCACGCAGGTCTGTGTGTTTATTTATTATTATTCACATTGATCGCGCTAACTATCTTCGGCTGACCAGTGAAAATACGCCATCCAGTCTCGGTGCGACTGCAAAAAGAAATATGCATTCAAAGACTGTGATGGTCTGGGACGCACCCTTGAGGGGGCGTTACGGGGAGGGCTACTCTGCTCTCCGGGCCAAAGACAGAAACGGTGGCGAACGAAGAAAATGCACGTGTGTGTATTTGTGTCTTTTTTATTAGCGTCGACCGCGCTAACCTGCTGACCAATGAAAATACGTCAGTCTCTGTGCGGTGGAGAACACATATGCTTCTTTCTATAGGCCACGATGTGAAACCCTGTGACCGAGCTTGATGGGGGAATCGACGCTTTTATCCGCATTAACACGTACCGCAGCAACAACAGAAGAGAAACTTGCATGTGTGTGTTAACGTCGACCCCTTTCGAACCGTCAACTGACCAAGAAAAGCCGCGTCTGCATTGGGTGTGTTTGGGGACCCTCACTGAAAGAGCTTTCAATAGCGGGAACCCAGTGTTTTTGTGGTTGACAACACTATTTTCTGTGCTAGGAAGGTCTCGAGCATGCCTGCAGTTGGACTGCACGATCTGGCTTTGGCAACCACACGCCGGTGACTATAGTGTCGCCCCCCTTGTCAAGAAAAAGCCTTGCCCTGTGTGGTGAGCAATTTTGTATTTTTGTTGTTGAGAATGTGATCTACCTTGGAGTTGTAGCATCTCATTCAAACCAAGGTGCTCGGAGGCAAAAGACAATTTTGTGTTTAGTCCTCAACCGATTTTTCCGGGTGTGTACGACGTCTGTGGTCGAAATTCCACGGCAAACATGTCCCCCCCTTCTCCCGTCGTCTCGAGAAGGACGTGTAGTGTCCTTGGTCAATCTAGTCAATCGATATTCAAAGAGTCGAGCGCTACTAAATGAGTTCCACGCCCCCCCCCCCCACCCGTACCGTCTTGCTACCTGTCGGCTTTTACCCAGACGGTGGAGAACTTGTTCGACTTCTCATTCTTCGTCAAGCGCGGGGAGGGCCACATCACCATCGACCCGGTGAGTTAGTGCTTGGGGGGTTGAGCTGGCTGGCAAAAACCCAAGGAGAGCATATTATGTTGACACACTGCCGTGTCTGTCGAACAACAAGTGGGGACTGCTAGAAGGCACACAATCACCTTCGCACTACTCTGCTGGTGTAAAGGGGAACAGGGTGGTGTTCCGAGTGGCTTTGCGTTTTTGGGGTGTTTCTAGAGACCAGCCTCTTCCTTGTTGAAGACTGAGGTGTGACTTCCGTTCTCTCTTTGAAAGAAGGGTGGTCATGCGAAATTCGACGTAACACAGCCGGAATCGTTCTCTTTTGGTGCCTCAATCCGTTTTTGTTTGTTTCGGGGCCAAGCTCCAGGTGGACTTGTAGGCATGTCCGTCCGCAGTATGCGATGCAGTATGCACGAGGCACTCGCTCGTCAAGGTAATCGGCCTTAAGAATGTGACAAAGAGTGCATTTTGAGGCTGGTATATACTTCTTGCCTCCGCAAGTGCTGCGTGTTGCCGATGCTGTATCGATTTAGGCAACTCATGATGGGAATTGTGCCCCTTTTGTCTGAGATAGCGCGGTTAAATGGTCGCGAAGTTTCGACGTTGGACAAGCAATAAACGAGGGTGTCGCGCCCCCCCCCCCCCCCCCCCCCCCCCCACTTCCCTTTTTTTTCCCAATCCCCCCCCCCCCCCACCTTCCCAAAATAAAACCTTCCACAAATATTCTTCCCCCCCACACCACATTTTAACACCCCCCCCCCCCCCCCCCCACCTCAAAACCACACTCAATTA